AAACAAATCATCCATCGAACAACCACCTTCCCGAGAGCTGAAACTAATTCCTGAACATCTTAAATATGCTTATTTCGAGATGAATGAAAAACTTCCGGTTATAATTTCTTCTAAACTTTATTTTGATCAAGAAAGTAAATTTTTGCAGGTATTGAAGAAGCATAAGAAAATAATTGGATGGATCTTGGATGCTATTTATGATACTAGTTCGTCCATGTGTATGCATAGGATCTCACTTAAAGATATAACAAATATAATGAGGCAACCCCTTAATCTTTTTATCTTTGGTGTTGTGGAAAAGAAGATCACGTGCCCATTCAACACTTTTACTTATCAAAGATTATTCTTTGATCCTGGAATAAAAGGCGAAGGCACTAATAAAAATTTCAAGTTCAGTGGACATTACCCAAAGCTACTACATGGGAGCCCCACTTTAGAAGAAGAGAATATAAAAGATCTCTCTTTGGAAAAGGCTGCTTATGTGATCACTTATCCTCCTTGATTATTCGGGTGTGTTCTTTCCTTTCTCTCACTCTTATTTAATAGTTATGTCCTTTCATTGAGGATAATGCATGTTTAAAGTGTGGGGGAGGGGATCATTTATTTTCTTTGTTTACTTTACTTTTGTTAGTTTTTTTTATAGTTATTATTAAAAATGCATCTTTTTGAAAGTTTTGGGTTATAGATTAATCGGAGGTTAGTTGTGGAGACTTGGGAAAAGTTCACAAGATCGGTATCATATTAACACTGTAAGTCTCATGCATATGGAAGTTAATTTGAATTCTTATTATGACGTAGCCTTGAATTCTCATCTTTTAATAGTTCTTGAGTAGTTTATTTCAGCAGTCAGCACAATCTCACACGCACTCTACGCAGGGAAGCCGATGAAAATAAGTGAGTGATTCAAGTTTTATTTGAAAAAAAAGGAAAGAAAAAGGAATGCGCCTTCTAAGTTTGGTGACCCTCACCCGGTCACTTAACCCAACGGTCATAGAACCTACAAAAAAAGTTGATAATAAGACTCGTTGTTAGTTGGTTCAGCGGTTTCTGGTGCTGAACTTGGTAGGAAGGATTACAGTCCGATCCCCTGCAACTACAACCGAGTAAGCAAAGGGTTATGCCACGTAAGTACCAGAACCCCGTGCAAAAAGGATCAGAGTCACTAACAGGTCGCCTTGCTATGAGTGTATGGAGATAACGGGCTTAATGTGATTGCTCCTGAATGAAAAGAGCAAAAAAGAGGATGAGTAAGTTAGGTTTTGGCATAATAATATTATTCGGATTAGTTTGCATATTCAAGAGACAAGATTAGCGTTCCTATGATATCGTTAGTGTGCAAGATTAGTACCTATTGATGCAATCTTAACCAAAGAAGAGTTTGTAGCCTAGAATGAGTAGTTGATGATGCTGTTGTGTTTCTTTTGATTTTATTTTGCTCGGAGTGTAAAAGTTCAAGTGTGGGGGAATTTGATCAGTGCATATTGATGAATATTTTCTTATGTTTGTACTTAGGCATTTCCATGGTTTGTTTTGTTTATTTTTCTATTTTATAATGTTTTTATAATTTAGTTTATTTTTACCTTTAATTGATTTTCGTATTTTATTTTCAGCATTAGCAGTCTGCACGAATAAATTCATAACTTAAGCTACGGGAGTCAGAATGAGGCGTGCTACTAGTTGTTGGAAAGCTAAGAGAAAGAGATACGATTTTTGTTCAGAAGTCGAGAGCTGAATCGGACTGTAGCAGGGCCATAAAATTCGTTGAAGTTGCAGCATTTTATATTTAAGTTTTGGGTCATTTATTTTGGGCCTGGGTTATATTTTCGACCCAGTTAGGCTATGAAACGAATCCTTGTCCTTGCTATACCTAGCAGCCGCTACAGTAATTTAGTTTTTGACCTTTTCATTATTCAGAAAAAAAATACATTTTGCTTTTACGCTTGAATGAAGAACTAATCATCCAGGGTTGATCTACTGTAATCATGTTCCGATGCTTTGAGGTTTTTAACTTATCAATTCAATTTTGTTTCTCTTTCAATTCTATTTTATGAAATTGCATTTGCTTAATCTGTTATTTCATGGAATGTCTTGATTAAATTCATATGATTGTATTCCTAATCTTTAATCGTTGTTTACGTCGCTTAGTCGTTAAATCGCGTTTTATATCGTGTTTGCTTAATTCACGATTGTATTAATCTGTTTGCTTAATTCAGAATGGGAATTCAATATGTTTTATATCTATTGCGCTTGTCAATTGGTATTGAAATCGAATAGAGGTCGAAGCCGCTTAGGGAATTGGTAAGGTAAAAACCAATGATTAGCAGGAACTTGAAAACAGTAGATCGACTTATTTTTATAATCACTTATTTTAATCACTTATTTCGTGTTATAAATCTATCTTAAAACCAACCATCCATTTGATTTCTATTAGTTAATAATAAAATCAAGAACCCTTGCGATACGACTCGAGCCATTGTCGCTATACTGTATTTTTATAAAATAACTCGTTTTTGATCTGCCCGCGACAACGGATCAGGCGGTCCAGGCAAAAGTTAGGGAATTAAAAGCGTATGACTACGTCCCGTTAGATCACCTTACAAACAACCTTTGGCTTTGACTAAAAAACTCAATGGATCTAATCAATCCAATCAACTTCGGACAAGGCAGCAAGTGGACAAGACGCTCAGAGACACGAAGGCTATAGCAGAATGGGAACCCCGTGGGATTATTGCACATAGCTATCTTTTCTTTGTATCAAATTTTCATTTTTTTTACGACGAAATTCTCTTACTAGAACGTTCGTCTCATTGTACAAAAAATACTTATTTAAGTTAATACAAAGATATCCCTTTGAAAGTGCAAAGCTATCTGTTTTTTCTTTATTTCTGTGTTTTGTTTACAAAAATGTCCAATGATTTATTTTTGAACATATGCATTTGAATGTAACTACTATTTACAAATGATCAAAAATAGAAGACAATCACTAATGGCTTTAAGAAATAGGATAATATCTTTAGACTATTCCATAAAATCCTCCATAATGTGCAGCTTAATGATATCAAGCTCTCTCACATCCTCGATGAAACAACCGACTGAAAATCATCAAACAATGAAGTCACCATCGAACGTCTTTTATCCCACATGTAGGGAAAGGAAAACATCGAGAAAACCTGAGAAGGGAGAAGTGACGGTCTTGCGATCGAGAGATCGAGTAAGGGATTCTGTTCCGCGAGGGGAAGGTATTAGCACCCCCACACACCCGTAGTACTCTATGGTATCCACTCTTGTTGTCTATCTTATGGATGTGTTTAATATGTGCTTACTGTTTACTATACTACTGAAGGGATAATGCATGCAAAAGAAAAGGGAAAAGAATGTAGGGAAAATAAATTGTGCTCGCTTGGGCCCTACCCCAATACCTACGTATCCTTTTTGAGGAATCAGAGCTACCGAAGTTTGGCTCTCATGTTTTTGTTTGTTTTGTGTTTTTTATGGATGAAGTTAATTCCGCTTTCTGCCGCAGCTCGACCTTTGGAGACTTATGCGTTGGCACAGAAGTAAACTAAACATGTCTTTACCTGAAAAGGGTTTTAGAGAAAAGTGCTCGAGCGCACAAAATGATTTGAATTGGTTTTGTGTCTTATTACCTTGAAAGAAGGGTTTAGGTGAGATTAGCATGTTTTTGATTTGCTAAGAAAAATATTTTTATTTTAGATGCAAGGATGCAAAGAGGAGAAGAAAAGATTCTAAAGGAGACTAGCCTATTTCTAACCTAATGTTATCATACAATGGTAGTCCTAAGGTTTGGATGAAAGGGGAAGTTTTTACCTAATGTTAGCATGCATGGCTTACAACCTAAGGTCTAACTTGCATCCGAACGGAGCAAGCGCATCCTAAGGGAACATGGTATGTAAAAGGATAAAGCAAACGATCCAGTAAGCTCAAGAGAGCACACCTAGAGAGATCCTTTCTAAACTAGCATGCCAAATAAAGTCTAACAAAACAATCCTATAGGGAACATGCAATGAGAGCGAAGTCGTGATCTCAATTTCTAAATTGAGTGACTCATCAATCGACAAGAAATAAAGAAAAGCGATAAAATCCTATAGGGAGCATGCACTGAGAGCGAAGTCGTGATCTCAATTGCTAAATTGAGTGACTCATCGATCAACAAGAACATAAAAAAACACAAGCACAACACATAGAAAACGAAGTGCGGAATGCCTGCTACAGGTCTTTAAACAACGACTTCGAGGGCACGCTCTTTATTTCCTACTTCTCATGGTATCTAGAAAAGCAATAAAGTGCATAAATGAGGAATAAGAGTGAAGTTGCGATGATACCAAACGGAGGAGGTCCGTTGCCTCTTCAAAACCACGCAAGCCATAAGAAAACTCTACCGAAAAGCTTCCTTGAATTTTCTTGATGAAGGTTTCACTCTTAGTCCGCTTCTACACTTCTTAAAACTATCCAACCAAGTATATTTTATTCATATGCTTTATCAACAAAAATTATGAAAAACAAGTAAAATAATAGGGAAAACAATTAAATTTCTAAACAGAGGGGGTGAGAATTCGAGACAGGTGTATGGTCAGTAGTGCAGCCTGGGCACAAGGCCCACCCAGATTGAGGCCAAAAGGATTTTTTTTTTTGCATTCAACTAAGCCTTAATTCCTACAATACAGGGAACTTGCAGCAAGAGGCCCAAAGCATGAATGTAATTTGGTCCAGCCACCTAATCCCAACATAATATTTCCAATTAGCATTTGATTTATAGTGAGTTAAACAAATAAACAAAAAAGTTAAACAACATTATCCAGCGTATGGAAAGGGATTAGGGTTAAGTTTGGGTGTTTCTCTTCATCTTCTACGATACTCCCTTCCACCGCTGATTTACTTCCGACGATGAATCGCCGCCTCATCTTCGATGAAACATCGTTGATTCAACTCCAAACCTTGTTCTCCAATTCGTCCTTAAATCCGTCTCAATCTCTCACGATATGAACACCGTCATTGTCTCTTCTTTGCTTCTCTCTTCCATATTCTTCGATGAAACAATAACATTGTGCGGCCGTTTACCTCAATCAACTCCTCTGTTACAGCATCGCTCATCACCGTTTATCACTTCCTCATCAAGCATGACGCCGTGATGAGAAATCCAAAGACAGAAATTCAGGTAAGCATTCTTGATTCTTTATTTCTAGTTCTCACTTCTTTTCTTCTGCTTCTTGTATGTTGTTACGATTTTGCAAAGATGATATTATGATTCACGACGTTGCAATTGCTCTTGATGCAAAAATCGTAATGGTGGTGCTGAAGTGGATTGTGGAAGAAGACGCAGAGGATGTTGATTGTGAAGATGTGATTACATTGAAACTGGAAGAAGACGCTTGATGAAGAAATGATAGTCGCAATTATGATGATGAAGATGAATCTGCATGAGGATTGTTTGTGAGCAGTTCTAGAGGAAAATAAAATGTTGAGAGAGAGATGAGGTAGAGAGAGCTTTTTTAAGTTCTGCAGACAAAGAACGAAGGTGATGGTGGTTAAGGGATGAAGATTCTGAAATGGTTGAAGATAGAGTTTTTCCCAGATTTTTTGGTGATTCTTCTGCAGATTGAATAATGACCTAAAGAGGTGAGCCATTCTCTTATGAGTTTTCTTTTTCTGCTTTCTGTTATCTGAAATCCGAACCCTCTTCTCTTCTCTTATATGTTATTCTATGCTAGAAGTTTGTTAGAGGTGGTTAGGAGGTTGTTAGAATGGTTTTGTTTTTGTTAGAAGAGTGAGAGTTAGTTTTCTGTTAGTTGTTCGGGTTGTGATAGTTGTAAGTTTTTGTTAAGTCTTCTCCTAACTGCTAGTATGAGTTAAGAAGGTAGAAATTATGTTAGGGAAATAGTTAGGAAGGTTGGTTGAATCTTGTTAGACATTTAGTTATCGGTTGAGAATTCTGTTTTGTGGTTTTTTCTGTGATGGTTACTTTTGTTGGTTGTGATTCAGTTATGCAGGGTAGTTAGGTGATTCTATTTAGAAGTTAAGAGTTTGTTATGAAATTGGTTATGTGGTTAGGTTAGTTATTAGCGAAGGTGATATACTAAACATAGGTTGAGGCATTGAAGACACTGGAGGTGTCCTGTTGATGTTGATTACCTTAAGGAAACTAGAAAAGAAAGTGAAACACTTAATGCTGCTGACAAATTCTGTGCAGGTATTACAGAAGGATTTCTTGGTGGCCCAACATGACTAAAAGGAGTTGTTTGAGTCCACTGTGAATGTTGTAGGAATTGTGTTGGTGGTGGTGCTTGCATAGAAAAACTGCTGACTTGGAATAATCAGGTGGAATCTAGTAATAGATATAGGTGGAGCACTAAAAGCTAAAATCATCTTTGAAGGGCTCATTGTCTGTGATGGAAAAGGAGGAGTTCTAGCAAGGTGTGGTGGATTTGGAGGGACTACACTTCAAGAAGAAGCAAATGAGGAGTATGAGATAGAGCAGCTAAAAACCATGAACGGGATTATTGAAAGTGATCTCCTTGTATTTGTGTGATAGCTGCTGGTTGAAACACAACCATGTTTGCCAGAGATAGAGAAACAACATGAGATATGGGTCTTAGTTTTCAGATTTATTTATTTATATTACTTTTCAACTGTTTTTCTTTTTTATAAAATATGGTTTATGTTAACTTTCAGTTACAATTAGTGGATAGTAAAACAATTAGAAAACTAGTGTTATGTTAGTTTGTTTTGCATTGGATCCATTCTTCTGTTTGTTGGATGCATATCGAACTGGTTTTTCTTATCAATTGATGTAAGGCTGTTTGAACTTTGGCTAATTGAGATTGGTTTCCTTAATGATGCAGGCTATGAAGAGTTTGAAGAACGACGGAGGGCTTAAAGAACTCACTTGGATAAGAGGCATAGTATCAGGTTAAATGGAGACTCGACTCATGATATGAAAAGTGGGGAAAGGCTTGGTCATGGGACTTGGATTTATTTGTAATTTTGTAATATTCAGTGCATTTTTCGTAACAATTTTGTAAAAAGAGTAATGACTGCGTGAATTTAAAATAGAACTTGGAAGAGCTCTCCTCGACCTTGATAATGCCTTGGACATTTGAATGAATTTGTAAACCCTAATAGACATTGAACTGAGTTGTTTGATTTTACAAGCTTGTCTCGAGAATTATGGATCCCCTTTGAATAAACCTTGAATGATGTTATGACTTGTAATTCTTTGCAAATTCGTAACTTGTACACCAAGAGGACCACATGAACGAATCTTCTAAATTTATCTTGAATCAATCATTTCCAAATCATGAAATTGAGACCTTGAGCTAATATTAATCTTGAGCACAATTAGTGGTTTCAATGAATCCAAATTGACTTTAATTCTTAACAAACAAAACCTAAATCAACTTGCCTTCTTATCAAAAATCCTAACCTCGATCTCAAATCCATATTATATTGCTCTACAAGCAATAAGCAATTGAGAGGACAATAATGCCTTGTTCACATTGAACTTACCTCTTCATCTTTGTATCATAACTCAATGCTTGCACCTAGAGCTCTTGAATACCCTTATTTTGGTATGAGATCTATACCTAAAGCCATGTGGTCCAAATACTAACTGAATTTTCTTAGACGAAGAAAACTCACTAGACTCTAGCTTGCAATAACCATACTAATATATCTAATAGCTTGCACCTTAAGTAATGATAAAACCCCTTTGAAATTTATTAATGAACAAATCCACATGGAACCATTCTTCAAGCCTACACGATTAGGGAAGTAAACCCTAACTCTTTCAACCCTAAAGTAACCTGGAGGAATGACTTTGTCTTTTGATGAAAACGAGTCTCTTGATAAAGGAGGAAATTCCCAATGAAAACCAACTCTAATCCCTCAACATCCTGGATCCCATGCCACATTTTATTGATTAATGAATGAATGATGTGCTAGATGACCTAATGGAGTTATGTACATGAGAAAAATGTAACAATGCATAACCCAAATAAAAGTGAAAGGGTAGGACAAATTTGGGGTATTATAGCTGCCCATATTTAATCGTCTTAAACCTGAAAGTATGATTGGTGCGTGCCTTTCGGAAGTTCGAGGTAGAAGCTGATTAAATATCAATGCCAAAAATTTGTCCTAAGAGAGAGTGTAAGTGTTTTTTATTTTTGTGTTATCTTCTAGGGGAAAGAATTTTTGTTTTTTAGTGAGGAGGCAGAGATTGGAAGGTGACACGAAGAGTGATTAGAACTTGACACAATGAGTGTCGGAAGCTGACATGACGAGAGTTTAGAAAGGCGACACGATGGGTGTTTAGAGGCTGACACGATGAGTGTTGGAAGGTAGGATGATGTAAACACAAGGACAAAGAAGACTTATAACGTGGCGTGATGCCAATACAAGGAAGGGATCTAACTTGTAACATAGCGTGATGCCAATACAAGAAAGAGATAGGACTTGTAACGTAGCATGATGCCAATACAAGGAAGAGATCATACTTGTAACATAGCATGATGCCAATACAAAGAAGAGATCGGACTTGTAACGTAGCATGATGCCAATACAAGGAATAGATTAGACTTGTAACGTAGCATGATGCTAATACAAGGAAGGGATCTGGCTTGTAATGTAGCATGATGCCAATACGAGGAAGAGATCGGACTTGTAATGTAGCATGATGCCAATACAGGGAAGGGATTTGGCTTGTAACGTAGCATGATGCCAATACAAGAAAGGGATCTGGCTTGTAACGTAGCATGATGCCAATACAAGGAAGAGATCAGACTTGTAACATAGCATGATGCCAATACAAGGAAGAGATCTGGCTTGTAAAGTAGCATGATGCCAATACAAGGAAGGGATCTGGCTTGTAACATAGCATAATGCCAATACAAGGAAGGGATCTTCCTTGTAATGTAGCATGATGCCAATACAAGGAAGGGATAACACGGACTAGTGTTTGAATCAATACGGACGAGTACTGAAAGAAGATATAGACGAGTATCAAAAGGTTAAACACAGACGTTGAATTAATACGAACGAGTATTGAAAGAAGATACAGACGAGTATCAAAAGTTTAAACAAGGACGAGTGTTTGAATCAATACGGACGAGTATCAAAAGGTTAAACACGGATGAGTGTTTGAATAAATACGGACGAGTATTGAAAGAAGATACAGGCGAGTATCAAAAGGTTAAACACGGACGGGTGTTTGAATCAACATGGACGAGTATTGAAACAAGATACATGAGAGTATCAAAAGGTTAAACACGGACGAGTGTTTGAATCAATACGGACGAGTATTGAAAGAAGATATAGGAGAGTATCAAAAGGTTAAACACGGGCGAGTGTTTGAATCAATACAGGCGAGTATTGAAAGAAGATACAGGCGAGTATCAAAAGTTTAAACACGGACGAGTGTTTGAATCAATACGGACGAGTATTGAAAGAAGATACAGACGAGTATTAAAAGGTTAAACACGGACGAATGTTTGAATCAGTATGGATGAGTATTGAAAGAAGATACGGACGAGTATCAAAAGGTTAAACACGGACGAGTGTTTGAATCAATACAGACGAGTATTGAAAGAAGATATAGACGAGTATCAAAGGTTAAACACGGACGAGTGTTTAGGAATTTACACGAAGAGTGTTTAGAAGTTGACACGACGAGTGTTTAGAAGTTGACACGACGAGTGTTTAGAAGTTGACACAGATGGGTGTTTAGGAAACTTGACACATACGAGTGTCTGGATCAATACGGACGGGTATTGAGGAGAGATACAAATGAGTACCAAGAGAAGTTTAAACATAGACGAGTGTTTAGGAGACTGACACAGATGAGTATTTATGAGTTGACACGGATGAGTGTTTAGGAATTGACACAGATAAGTGTTAGAAATCTGAATTATTTCTAGGATGGGAACTGACTACCAGACAAAAACTGGGTTTAGAATGAAAAAGTGTATTGATTTGGTTGGGCATTGAAAAGGTGAAGGTCATCGACTGGGGATTTTGGGAATATATTGTTGTCCTTGAATGATTCAGGTCTTTCGTGTAAGGTACCCGATTTGGCTTATGCTTCGTATGCATGATTGAATTTCTTTTTTCGCAAAGATCCATTCTGATGGATTGGCTACTCGCTTTTGAGGATGCAATGTTATGCAGTGATAACTATATGCAATGCAAAGAAATAGACTTCATGGGGATAAGCGAAAGATTGCTGGGAGCCATTGCTCATCATTGGGGATGTCAATACATATCGACGTTGGAAGTTTACAGTACCAAAGATCGTTGGGGATACCGATAAGAGTTCGCACTGGGGAGCCCATGATACCAAAGATTAATGATGACTCTACTGAAGATTGAATTGCTGACGAAGC